ACCTAAACCTCAGAAGGCCCTTAAGAGAGGAAGAGATTGCTGATGTTGCAAGCTTGCTGAGCTCTCTCAGTGAGGCCTACATCTCCCCTACCACCCCTGACCAAAGGACCTGGAAACTTTTTTTTTTTTTTTGAGAAAAAGTTAACCAGATTTCATTGATAGAGATAAGAAGTACATGAGTAGGTGTACTAAAAGAGAAAACAGCAGAAATACAAAATTACAAGGGGGGAAGCTTGTTGCTGTATAAATTTTCTAAGTTCGCTCCCAATTTAGCTAATCCATCAGCAATATGATTCATCTCCCTCGGGATCCACTTCAGATTAACATTCAAATGTTCCAGGGTGTCTCTTGCCTCTGACAGATAATGACTCAACCTCCAAGGGCCCCCCTCCTTCTCTTTCAGCCATTTGATGGTATTAGCTGAATCTCCTACTATAGATATTTTCTGAATGCCTAGGTTTTTTATGATTCTGATACCAGTGAGGGTTGCCATCACTTCAGCCTTTGTTGAGTCTGTAATACCTAATGGACCACTAAACGCCCAACAAATCAGTCCCTGTTCATCCCTCAAAATTCCACCTATCCCAGCTTTGCCCGAATTGCCTGCAGCACTCCCATCAAAATTTAAAATCATCCCTGCTTCAATTTGAGGAAGCTGAAGACTTTTGGTTGGTTGAGGGTGATTTGGGAGAAGTAGGATCAACTGGATATTTCTGTTAAGATCATTAAGGGATAGGTCTTGAAACATCACACTGTTAACGGCCCATGAGTTACAACAGAAGAAGATATCTACGATTAGGTCCTCTAGAGATCTAGACCTGTTTTCAAAAATATGCCTGTTTCTTTCCTCCCAAATTCCTCACAAGACTGCATGAACCACAGTTTGCCAATACACTTTACCTTTTCTGCTCAAACCTGACCCATACCACTGGTTGAGGAACTCCTGAATGTGTTTGGGAGAGGCCCAACTATAGCCTAACAGGTTTAAGAAATGCCACCATATCTTTTGAGAAAAACTACAATGAATGTGTAGATGATCTGCTGATTCCCCTTCTCTTAGGCAAAGCACACATACATGAGGAGAGATATAACACCTTCCCTGGCTTTTCTTCTGGAGAAGATCACAAGTGTTTATTCTCTGTAGACATGCTTCCCAAACAAAAAAACAGATTCTTAGAGGAATATGGCTGCTCCATATCCTCTTAAATGGGAAAGAGGAAGTCTGGTCACCTGCAAGAAGAGCCTTAAACAAAGATTTGGAAGAGAACACACCATTTGGGTTTAAGGTCCAAATTCGGGTATCAGAGGGATGAGGGGAGAGATAGACTTCTTTTAGGGTAAGGAAGAGGTTTAAAAGGCCTGAGATCTCAATTTCCTTTAAAGGTCTTCTCAGGTTCAGAGTCAAATTGGTGTCAGCAGGTAAGGCTGGAATGCAAGAGGAGACAGTTGAGTCCTGATTTGAGGAGAGATTAAAGATTCTAAGGAAGGATTCAGCTAGGGTAGAATCCCCCCACCAGAGATCTTTCCAGGATTTTATTTTATTTCCGTTTCCCACTTTGAGTCTAATGAAAGGATTGAAGGATGAGTGGGAGGAAACTATACCTTTCCAAGGGTTTGAGTTCTTTGCCTGGTTCAACTGAAGATTGCTGTCCCACCCATTTGCATTTGTTCCATACATGCTAGAGATAACAGCTGCCCAAAGAGTATCGGATTCAGTTGGGAATCCCCATAGCCATTTGCTCAAGAGAGAGATATTCTTCTCTTTTAAATGCCCAACTCCCAATCCTCCCTCCTTCAGCTTACACACTTGGTCCCAACTTACCAGGTGATTTCTATTCTCCCCTCCTCCATCCCAAAGGAAATTTCTTTGGATTTTCTCTAAGTAAAGTCTCACTTTTGGAGGAACTTTGAAGACTGAAAAGTAATAAGTTGGTAAGTTTTCTAGAGAGGCCTTTAGGAGAATCAGTCTGCCCCCTTTTGAAAGGTAACATTTTTTCCAAGAGGCTAATTTCCTTTCAAATTTCTCCACCACTGGGTCCCAGAAGTTTAGGGATCTTGGGTTGCCTCCCAGGGGCATTCCAAGGTAGGTAATGGGGAGGCTTTCCACTTTACAATTCAGAATCTCTTTGATATTCTCTATGAGACTTTCTTCGACTGAGTTAATAGGAATAATGCTGGATTTGCTGAAATTAACCCTCAACCCGGTAACCAATTCAAAAGCTTCGATCACCCTCTTCACGTTCGAGATATTTTCCAATGATGCATCCAAGAATAGGATGACGACAAATTGTAAGTGAGAAACCTGGACCAGATCTCTTCCCACTTCAAAACCCTTGATCAAGCCCAGAACCTTGGCTTTGTCAAATAACAAGCTGAAGATATCCAAGGGGAGCCTTTGTTTACTATGTGAGCTCCAAATCTTCTTCTCCACTGTCTTGTCACTAGGAAGGTCTGGTGCGCTTTGATGGTAGTGCACAAGGGTCCACAGGTCAAGCAGGAATTGGAGGTGTTATCCAAGGGGAAAGGGAGAATATTTGGTGGGCTTTTAGTGGTCCAATTGGGAGGGCAAATGCCACAAAGGCAGAGGTCTTGGCTGCTCTCACAGGAATACGCATTGTTAAACAACTAGGTATATCCTCTCTAACCATTGAAGGGGTTTCAGCAAATACTATAGCTTGATTAAGGGAGAAGGAAGGGGGGGCTTGGAGGCTAGCACACTTGCTAGTCTAGCAAAATCAGGGGTTAGAGAAAGACTGTTTAGTGGAAATTGTTTACCTTGTAATTTTGTCTTAGCTTCTTCAGGCTGCTGTACATCCTCTATTTTCTTTTATCAATAAAAGTTAACTTTACTCAAAAAAAAAAAAAAAAAAAGAGAGAGACATCCATCTGGTTACAGGACATATGCCAGTTTTCAGTCACCAGCAGACCATCCAAGGTCTCCACTGACTCAATATTTGATATAGCTAGCCCTTCTTCCCCAATGTCTAGGATTGCTTTTCGAGCATCAAAAGGTATAACAGAAGCAGGGCACTTGAACAAGAATTTTTTCATGATACACTCCAGAAGCCTCCCCCAATCTGTAACATCTCTTACTATTGTAAGAACCAACTGCTGCCTCCAAACTCCTTTGACGACAATTTTTGGCTTTCGTTTGAACTAGCCAAAAAAAAAAGCTTCAAGCTCCTACTCTCAGATTTTTCTCCCTTCGATTCCTCCCTAGTTTATTGCAATTCAGATGTTGCTCTTAGTGCTTCACAATGAACCCCTATTGTCTTCTGCTGATTCCTTTTTTTTTTTTGAAAGTGATTCTCTTCCAGTCTCGTCAATAACTCCTGTAACTATCAGCAAAAACCATCCAGCCTCTTCTCCCCCTGCCCTCTGAAACGCAGATCAATTGTTTTCTGTTATCGCAAAAATACTTTGTAATGGCAACAAACCATCCTTTCATGTTTCTTCTCACCTCTACTTCATAACTCTTCCCCACTAGACCAAAGGAACTTTCCCAACCTCGTTTTTTAACAGAGTAAACTGTTCCATCAACGAAACCTTTCAACCAACAAATAGCTTCTCCTATTAAAAATATTGTAACTCTTTTGTCTGCCTTGGTCTTTAGTATTGCTGTTCCACTATTCGTTCCTTCCTCAAGTAAGAAATTTTTTGCTTCGATTTCCACCCCCTTCTCCATCTCAATGCCGCTTGGAATTCTCTCCAACTCCCTGTGTGCAAGTCATACTTGATACAGGGTGAAAACAGAGGTAGGATAGCTTGCATTGCTTTCCAAGGTGATGCTCTTGTAGTACAAGCTAGAATCCCAGAATCCCATCCATTATCCGCAAGCCCATGAATACTAACTACTACCTTAGCCCACACCCCACAGCTTTTCTTTTTCTAGTAGGAACCTCCACAACCATTTTCCAAACAGAGCCAAGTTTCTCTTCTGTATATTCCCAATGCCAAAACCTTTAGACTTCTTACTTCTACTCACCACTTCCCACCTAACCCTACGGTCCTTTTTCTCCTCCCTTGACTACTAACAAAGTCTCTCATTAGTTTTCCAACTTGCTAGCCACCCTTGTTGGAATCTTAAAAACCGATAAAAAAAAAAAAAAAAAACAGACAAGTTAACTAGTGTAGATCTAATCTAGAAACTAACTTTTCCCAAATCTTTTCCCAGTCCATTGAGAACAGAAATCTATCCAATTTAGAGCAAGTTGAGGGTTCTTGAAAATTTGACCAGGTGTATTCTACTTGTAGCCATGGAAGCACCTTTAATTCAAAGTCATCCACAAAAGCATTGAAGTTTCTCATGCTTGTAGTTATTCTTCGATTGGGTCATTGGTTTCTGTTGTGAACCATTGCTACTACAATAAAATGTTAATAAATGGTACTCCCCTGTATAGGAAAGTTGCAGAGAATGAAATCATCTGCGCCAAAGACATGCATCCTACTTAAAACTTACAGAAATACAAGAATCAAAAAGAATGAATATGCATTATAACATGCTGAAGAGCAGCTCTGGTACTAGTAATAAAATAACTTTTGACGGACAGCAATGAAGTGGCCAAGCTTACCATTTTGACTTGCATACCCACATGTCTGTACATAAAGAGAGGGGTGTCCCCTGATGCAGGGTACCTTTGCATCCTTGTTTATCATTTTTTGTAAATATTCTGTTGGTGAGAAATATTGCTCATACATAAGCTATTCTTTTTTTTTGTACATATATCCTTTCACACACCCAATCTCACTATCTAGTTGGCAGTTAAATTCATCTTAAGGAATCCTATCTGACCTAGGATTGACAAGGAGGCCAAAATTTCATTGATCTCATAATGAACAGCCCCCATTGGACCACTGCCCCTACAAATACTTCTTAGCTATGTCATAGCAAACTCCAAATAGAATGTTAGCCAGAGAGGGGGGAGGGGGAGAGAGTAAGACAAGAAAAGAAGAGAAGCATAGATAATATCAACTCCATAGCAATAACTAATGAGACAAACCTGGCAATGCACACTATTTTTTTCTATGTCCTTCATTATCCTCAAAGAGTCATCCTTGAAGCCATCCTGTGGATGAATAAGGGAAATAAAAGAATAATAAATTAGCAACCTTTTCTGGGTATGGAAGCGTAAAAGGGCCATTCTACTACTCTTCCCTATAACTCATAAAATTTTATTAGATGCCACTATATCAACAAAATAAATCAAGAAATATTCTTTCTGGAAGGTCCTCAAGCATTAAAATAGAAACATTAATCAAGAAAAGTTCAAAATAAAACAGAACCATATCAATGACAAAATGTAAACTAGACAAAAAAAAAGAAAGAAAATGGAACAAAATGTAGATTCTATGTCAAGTCTATAATATCTTCACTTTCTAATGTGTAGATTCAGTAAAACTTTACAAGAGGTGGTATTTAATTGGATGCTTCCTTTTGGTGAAGACAATCTATCTAAATTCAAGGTCCTTGCTCTTCTTCAGGGTCATGGTCACCCATTGTGCATCAAGAGGCTGGTGGTGGAATGGGACACCCAATCTTTTTATCAGGTAGGGCTCATCTGTTGAGCATCAGTTACATCCTCTAAGAAGCTTTTTTAGTGGCCAAAATGAAAGTCAGATCATCCAATATTTGTGAAAGTCAGCCACCCCACATTATCATTACCACTAGGATGAAGGAGGTGCAGGGACTATCATTGGTCAGGGGGTGATAAGTGATGATTAGGTCAACATAGCTATCAGCTTCTCAGGGCTGGTGAGTGGTGTTAAGTCAGTGAGAGTAGAAATCTTGATCTCAAGTAAAGATTGACCTCAAGCGCTGGATAGAATGGAATAAACATGGAAGGGGATTGCCAAGTGGTCATAATATGACTAGAGTCTAGGGAATGAAGTACCACAGATGTTCAGGTTCTTGTTAGAGAAGCTAGAGCAAAGACTCAACAGCCTAAATGCCTTGTTCAGGTGGGTTCCTAGAACAACCAGTGCTTTTTTACTACCTTATTTTAGGAATGACTTGCAGCCAATACTCACTGGCTAGATCTGGGGTCAATAGAGAAAAATTTATTTGAAGAAGCCCCAATCTGGAATGGACTTGCAAACTGATAAAGGTACTTGTTTGTAATCAAGGCAGCTTATTCAGTTACCAACTTTGTACATTTTGCTGTTGTTGCAATAGTTATACTTAGTCTTGCTTATCAAGAAAAAAAAATTGAGACATTGATTTGTTCATGATACAGTATTTTCTATATTTATTGTTTTGATTCTTAACAAAAGCAATTCAAATATTGATTAGAAGAAAAAAGAACCACATAATTAGCAAGAGAAAAATGGAAGTTCTTTTGGCTCCCATTTGATTTTTTTTTTGACACCATCTGATGTAAAATAAGGCAATAATAAATGTCATCATTGGTTGGGCCAGCTTCCTTGTAGGAACTGATAAAATCAATGTTTGTTATTGATCAAGAAAAACTGATCAAATCAATGTTTTAAGATGCCCTACAAGGCAGTCAAGCTATTCCTAAAATGCCTGAAGATGCATAATTTACATTTGGGGCATTCACCTCAGACTGAAGCATTTATGAAATATATTCCTTTGGGTGAGGCATAAGTATCAAACACACCTTATATTTGATTAGTGAGCCTCACATGGAAGATTAATTCACCTATCTTATAAACAAATATATATCTTCTACTTATTTAAATCAAATAATGACTAACTGTTTAACCATAGCTTCTGGTTTATTATCCCAATATGAATATCACTTTTATTAATATTACAAACATTTTTTTGATTAACATTATAAACAATTAACCATTGTATAACAGTATATAAACATGATTTGCAAAACCCTTTTAGCCATTTAGTTTTACTAACACCTACAAAGATTGGAGAGAACATTCTATCTAGTCTTTTTTTTTTATAACTAACATTCTATCTAGTCTTTTTATTGATAACTAACATTCTACCTATCTTGAATAGCCCTCTCTATCCTATTAAGAGAAGATGGAGGGAATATTGGGGAATCTTGGAGATAAGGAACGTCATGAGATCACTAGAAGTCCAAACACCATTACAAATAACACAACAGTTTGCTGTCTCAATCAAGAGAACAAGATTCAACCAAACGAGCTTCTGTTATGTGTCTGTGTGGAGTCTGAATTAGCAAGCTCAAAAAACAAAAAAAGGATCTGCAGATAGGTGCAGACATGTTTTTGCATGTGTACATAAATCAACAACCTTGAGACTCTGCAGAAGAAAAGACCTTCTTGGTGTTTATCCCCCCCAGCCCCAAATTGTTCTATCCTTTTTAACACCTATGGGAAATTAACACATCACCTGATAATCTCCTGTTTTTCGCTCATTGAGTATGGCATTGGTTCTTTTCTCTGTCTGGCTGTAGATGGACACCTCCTTCTAATGAGGTGGGCTTATCTATCATCCCTTAAAATAGAAAGAAAGGTAAAATAATGTGAAAATGCACCAGGGTGACAATCATTTGGACATTATAGGAAAAAGAAATGGAGAATTTTCAAGAGAACGGAAACATCTCAAGAAGGTATTATAGAAACCATATCAATAAGGGTTATGCATTGGTCAAAACTCGGAAGATCTTTGACCCTTTCTCAACATAAGATACAGATAGAAACTGGCAATGGTTGAGTTCTTCCACATCAGCTAAACAAAGGACTCATTGGCATCTGAGTCCACTCAGCACTAACATCGTCAAATTAAGGTGATGTTCAGCAAGTCATTTTAGAAAGATCTTCCGATAGCCTAGATGGCAAAAAGAGATACTGAGCTTTTGGGATCCTGTCTTTAAAGATAATGACCATGGTAAGTATCTTGATCTACCATGGTCTACTGATCTGTTAAATGAGAGATTTTAGGGACGGAAAGATGGGAAGCTTCATTGAAGCTTCCTGATTTTCACCATTTTGGGCTTCCACGAGGTTTCTGTGCATTGGTCTTTTCAGCTTCCTGTCCTACATTGCCAAACAGAAAAAGACCAAATTTTGGTCTTCCGAGCTTTGAAAAGCCTGAAAGATTGCTTGGAAAAACTTCGCATACACCCCCTAAATTTTGAGGGCTGTAGTTTGTGTAGCCCAGGAGCTTCACGAGTTGGAGAGGTCTGTAGAGGCCATCAAGGACATATCCTAACATTTTCTCAGGACCTCTTGTTATGGGAATTGTTTTTTTTTTTTGATAAATCTCCTGTTATGTGAAATTCAATAAGGGCAGAACTGATAGCCGTTAAGTACAGTAGTACAGAGGCTGCATTTGGGAAAGACTCTCAATTTGACATCTCTTTTGGTGGAAGTAGAACAAAAGGAGGTTTAAATGAAATAAGGAAATATGGCAGAGTTCTAGATTTTTGCATGCCTTACCACATATAGTGAACAAGGTTGAGGTTCCTTAATAAAAGAGGGAATTAGATTATCTCCAACTCCCACAAATGTAGTAGAAACGGGTTTGGGAACAATTCTAGAGCACGGTTCATCAATCTGATGCAAAAGGCCATGAGATTGGTATATGTATATATGGATATCAAATTGGCCAATAAACTCATTTACAGATCATCCTTACTTCCTTGCCAAGGAGTTGTTTAATAGTGATAGTTATTTGTGTTCCCAATTAATATGCTCTCTCAAAGTGTCACATGTGTGTATTATATACGTATGTCATCGTCTAAGCTTTATCTTAATTTTATGGGATGGGCTACATATGTCCTGTTCTGTCATTCCGTTCTGTTCTTTACAGTGCCATATCCATTATTAAACTATAGGCCCTCAAATCATTTCTCACTACTTTAACCCATGTCCATATGTATATATAGCTATGTATGTGTGTATGTATGCTTGCAGCAATATTTCATGCTAGGTTAAGAAAACTTGGGACAGAATTCTGTAAATAGTCAAGCGAGGAGGAACAGTAGAAAATCCCAGGAACTTAATCCTATGAATAAATTTGAAGTCAGTTAAATGCAAACAAGTTACCTCTGCTAACATGTGATCAGCCTCATCAAAAACAAGAATTTTAATATCCCTCGTCCCAAGTTTCTTTGCTGACATCCACTTTTTTATGGTACCGGGAGTTCCGATCACTATTTGTGCCGTTATTGGCGCCCTTTTATAAATTGGAAGATAGTTGGAACTATCCGAGGGAATAGCACATTCAGTACTTATCCCTGTGTATTTTCCCATTTTCAGTAGAACTTCCAGATTCTGCAACATTCGTTTCCTACCGTTACAATATGAACCAACAAATACCACCAACAGGAGGAGGTGCAGAAAAGAATATTAATAAATAGATACCTGGATGGCCAACTCTCTTGTAGGGCAAATGCAAAGCGCCTGAGGTGCTTTGAGATTGGGATCAACCCGACTCAGCATCCCGAGCACAAAGCAAGTGGTCTTTCCAGAACCATTGTGAGCTTGCGCTATTAAATCCTTATACGGTGGAGTCAGGATCATCGGCAAGCTTATTGCCTGAATCTTACTAGGCTTATTAAATCTCATCTCAACATAAAGCCCCTGCAGCAGCTCAGGAGACAGTTTCAAATCCTCGAAAGTAGAAGCAGACGTATAGGGAGTATCCCCCGATGTAACCTAGATCAAAATTAGTGTGAAGAAAAAACAAATTGGTGATCTAAAACCCTAATATCCAAGAAGAAACAAGTGGGGGAAAAAAAGAAAAACTCTGTTACCGCTTTAATATTCGAATCTTCTGGTTCGTCCAGAAACTTGTTGACTTTCTTGCTCTCATCGATTGCCAGAGAATCGACATTCAGTTCAGCCGGCTTGTCTCCGGACGCCGACGAAGTGGGTTCTTCGGCCATATCATCTTCCTCGTCGGCCCAAGAACGTCTAACTTGCGGTGGATTTACTTCCGGGACATTCTCTGTCCCAGAAGCGGCTACGTTACTGCTGTCAGCCATTAAGTCGATTTGCAGGAGAGGAACAGAGATGAAGCTGGAGAGAGAGAGAGAGAGAGAGAGAGAGAGAGAGAGAGAGAGGGAGAGAGAGAATGGGTAGGACGACTGAATGATCAGACTGTATAATTCAAGTACAGTTGGTGCTCGAATTGCGGACGGCAGTCAATCGGACATATTACGCTAAGTCGCTAACACTCGGGAAGTGTTAATACGAAGGACTGAGGAGTGAGGAGGGCGAGACGACTCACCGACTACGGAATCTCGACTCAGACGGTTCTCTCAGTCTAGAGAAGTCTAGACGCCCATGTGCTGGGGCGGATGCGGAAGATATGGGCTCGTAGTTGGCCCAGTCCACGTCTGAGATTTTACATTTGGGAAATTTCAGCTGTTTCTGATGCTTGTTCTCCATATACGAATGGGCCCAACCCAAACCATGTTATTGATGTGATAATTTCGGATATCATGGTTCAATAATTCATATAAGGGAGAGATGAGGAGGATTTCACCCAAAGCATTAGAACGAGAAAATAGAAAGGGTACACCTAGATTTTTAGGTAACAGGTGAATACCACTTAAATTAAAAGAAAATTTTATAAAACAGTTGTAAGGCCAATTATATTGTATGGAGTAGAGTAAGATAGAAATGATAGGAATAGTGATGAAGTTATTTCTAGAAACTTAGGAATAGCTCTAATTGGTGATAAAATGAGAAAGAATAGACTAAGATGATTTGGACAGGTGCATAGAAGACCACCAACTATGCTAATTATAAGAACTGATCAGATTGGCAAAATAGGATTCATGTAGCCAACTCCATATAGTTGGGATAAGGCATAGATGATTATGATTTAGGAATAGCAACGGGGTGGATTCATGGTATAGCAACTTCTCCTTGTCAAGGATGGAGAATCCCTTAATTTTTCCCCACCTGAAAGTAAATTTGGGGGCATTTTAGAAATGATATTATGGGAATTTGAGACATTTTAGAAACTATATTATGAGAATTGGGGGGTATTTTAGAAATGAGATGAGAGGATACTATAGGTTTTAACAATTTGACAGAAATGCAGGGATATTTTAGAAATTAATATTAAACCTAGGAGAATTTTAGTAATTTACCACTGGGCTCATGGTGGATTTGGGAAATTATATGCAAATCTAGCCCTAGTTTGGGGCAAAAATATTTCCCATTGCCTTGTTTAAGATAGGGGAAAACATGCACCACTTAGGTAAGGGTGGGGCCCTAATTTTATGGGGAAATTTTCCATCCCTATAGTTACCTAAATTCTTGCTAAGGTCATTAATGGGTCAGGTCTACCTGATATAACCAAACTGATTATACCGGTTTTTGCTATTCTAAATTGATTAAGAGCCAAACCAAACATGTAACTAATAATATATAAAAGTCTCATGGTTTTCTTGTAATTTGTGTTATATTTCATGTCTAAAAGGATAATTTTGTACGTTACATAAGATAATTTTAGTTAAAAAAACACTTGTTTTTATAACAATATAAAAATTTTACTATTTACTGCCATTTTTAAGGTTATATTTATCAAAAATGAAATCCAAGTTGTCATATTAAAAGTAATGCCCATTCCAATTTTAACTATTTGATTGGCCAGAATTAGATTAGAATTCCCATTCTTATAGAATGGCAATTCCCCATTTGAGGGAAATGGCCATTTTTGGCCTCCCCCCCTTGGTAATGGGAATCTCACTCTAGTGGATCAGATTAAAAAAAAAACAAAGATAAGTGACTTCAAACCCCCAACCTTCCTTATTGAGAGTCATACATACTATATGAAATCCAATTCTAAATCCCATTTGAACCAAACAAGTGGGAGAATAGATAATTCCAACTTTGATTCCAAGGGATTTCGGTTCTAATTCCAACAATGAACCAAATGTCAAGTATATAATTGGATCAGACCTAATTAACCTGATTAATATATAATTGATTTAGTTTTTATTTAGAGTTTTGTATCCCAATTATAATTGGATCGGGCCAGTTCCACCCTATCACGATCAAAACTTGACATATTAGCAACTTTATATAGGTGCTTAAAAGGACAAGTTTTAACTTTGGTGTCTGTTTTGGAGTGCTTTCATGTGATAGCTTCTAGATTTACAAGGTGGGCTCCACCCAGACAGCTTATAAGCAATGGTAAAAAATAGCTACCTTACGACCTAAATTATGGCTTTCTACCAAAGCTTCTTTTATTAGTTTCTCCAAAGCAACCTTTACTCTGGTGGAGGGGCAGCAACCTTCAAATTTTATTAATATTAAATAATTGGCTGAAACATGAAAAGAAAAGCACGGGAGGACATATCCCGCCTTGCCCCAAACATGAGATGATTAATTGAAGATTGGGATTTGCCGTCACAAGGTCCTGAACGGTGTATGGTGGAACAAAAGGATGTAGTTAATGCCTTAGTGGTATTCGATAAAATGCCGATATGGAACCAAAGAAGCTGGAAGATACAAGAAATTAAGAAAAGCCCCAAGGAGATTGTATATGAGAGGATACTCCGGTTTAGAAAAGAAACAAAGATGTAGGAGCTATCAACAAAGTGCAGTGACACAACATAAATGTTGGGATGATATGGTGATTGGCATTCGTGAGCCTCTTCAAAGGCTCATCAAGGTTTTTAAAATCAAACTGGACGATGAATCGATTTTAGGGGTTTGGTTTCTGGGTCAAATGGTCCGGTCATTGGAACTGAATGGATGACCCATGACAAAATAAATAAATAAATAAAAACTGTCACTGTCGAAGATGATTCGAACGATTTGATCGCCCAGATCAGCGATTTATTGATCAAATCAACGGTTTTTGATAAAATAATGGTTCTGAAATAAGACGGAACCGATCACCTGACAAGTTCCTGGTTTTTCCAGTCTGACTGTCTGGCCTGGTCCAGTTTTCCCCCACTGCTTTAAAATCAAATGGCCCTTTTCTTCTACAGTTATGATGACAATGTTGCATGCCAAATGATTCTAGAGAAAAAAGGATTGAAAGGTTATGAGGTGATCCCAACATTCCTGATAACTCATAATTTTGTTCATGCTACTCAAAGGGTTACCATGCATCTTACAATGATTTCCAATGCCATTTTAAAGAAGAAATCCCATTTGAACTCTGTCCAGCAATAATGTATAAATAAATGATTCACATCCCTTTTCCATTTCATGCACAAAACACAATATTTGGCATCTGAAAACCTCTTAGTTTCAGGTGGTCAATTATTAAGGTGAAAGGTTTCACTTTTAATGCTTCAAGGGCATTTTTGTATTTTTTCTTTATTTGTTTTTTGATCGCCCTGGTATAAACTATTTCTGGCACCGCCAACAGAACTTTTTGCCTATCGTTCTTCTTCTCTTCTATTATCCTCTCTTCTCCACTTTTTCTTCTCTTCTGTTCCAGCTCTCTACTGTTTTCTCCAAGATAATATGGTAACAAAGCAGGTCTGTTATGCCAGGAAAATGGAACCGATCAAGTGTTCCACTCATTTTGCTGTGTTTCTCTTGGAGAAGCTTGAGAATACCAATCAGACTGGTCTGAGAAGGCTTTTTTCAGACTTTTTTCTCTCCCTCTCTTGGTTGTGTACCAAGAAAACCTTCTGTAACTGTTTCGTGTGATTGATGTGAAGGGTTTAGAACCTATTTTTCAATTTTTTTTTTGTGGACCGTGCGATCCTTTAGGGTGTGTTTGTAGGTCAGGTGATGACTTGTACTTACCGTAACATCAGTAAGGTAGATGTATGGTAATTGGAAGGCCAGATTTGTCCTGGGGAACCTCCCATAGGTTGTTTGGTACAATTGCTCTTTATACTTGAAGCTGATTTATAGAAATCGACATGCAACTATTATTTGAAGCTATTTGTAGTTGAAACAGGCATATACCTTAAAAAAATTGAAGTACTGGAGGTTGTTTGTAGATGTACAAGTGTTAAATTGGTCAAGCCTCATTGAAAGATAGAGACAAGGTAACATCTACAGAGTTAGACCCAGCTAACACGATGTCAGATTCCCTCCCTTCCATTCAAAAAAGATGAGGAGTCCTCAAAGGAGAAGAGGGAAAGAAATAGGTTAGAGGTCACTGTTGAGGAGGAAGGTAAGGAGAACTTAGATGAAGAGGAAGCCATTGAAAAGGTGGCAGTGGAAGGAAGGGGGAAGAATGAAAGAACGGGAGGGGCGGAAAATAAGGAAGCCATAGAACCTCAGCCTGACGAACAAGGGGAAAGGAGAGGGGGGAGGAAGTGGAAATGAAGAGATTTCTACAGATGGCATCCCCAAAAAGAAAAGAGTGGGTTTTGATAGTCTAGTGGATAGACAGGTTGAAAATGGGAAGTCTCTTGGGTTCTTTTTTTTTTTTTNGGGGGGGCGGGGAACGGTGGTTAGAAAAGCAATTGAACAATTTGAACGAAACAGAAGGGAAGAGGCGAACAAACTGAAAGTCTGGGGGGAAGGTTTGGGAGGAAGATGAAGGGGGAGAGGAAGAAATAATGGCTGAAGAATGATGGGGGAGCTGCAAAGCAGTGGTTGGTTAGGGGGGAAGCTTTTGAGGAATTGCAGAAGTCTCAGGTTTGATAGGGAGAGCTTTGTTTCTGGTGCCTTCAAGGTTGCGCTTCATGCAGGCATTTTATTTTCCCGGTTTTGTAAGTTTATGAAAGAAAAGATCAGAAGTGGCTCTGAAGACAAATGCTGGAATCTGGTGAAGATTGTGGCAGCTGTTAGTATCTTGGTTGCAGTTTGGGTTTTGATCTCTCCAGCTTTTATCCTAGTTTTAAGAGAGGATTTGGATATCATATTAGGGGATATATTGGAGTTTCATCTCTATAACCTGGATGAATTTTAGTTTTGTTTTTTCTGTCAGCTTTTTAATGTTGGTTCTCTCCAGCTTTTTTATGTTTCTAGCTCCAAGGGGCATGAAATATAGGTTATGCTTGGTCAAAGATACTTTTAAATAAAATAAAAAGAAAATCTATGAAAATGAAAAAGATTATAGTCTCAACAGCATGTGACAGGTATTCTCCCTATTCAATAATCAACCTTCTCAATGAGTATCCCCATCTACGTACTCCCTCTTTAATGTCCACTTTCACCGTAGCATCTCCACGGTGAACAGCCATTAAGAAAATAGATATTTCATTGTTTTGATTGTTCCCTAACTTTTCTTTTGATGAAACCTTTTGCCCAAATTCTAATTTCTCTTTTGACAAAACCTTCTGCCTAAATTCACAGGTGCAGGCGGCTTATAATCATTGTTGCTCAAATTTGAGAAGTCAGTTGTTTTTAGTGGGTCTCATAATTGATATTCTTCTATTGCTTTCAGGTCTGTTCCTTCATCTTTCCGATCCAAATATAGTTGTTTATAATTGCTTTCTTCAACTGCTGAATTTTTTCACTTAGGTTGTGTTTGATTGCAATGCAAATAAATTTGCACTAATGCACAATTATGACAGTGCATATGATTTAAGTGTAAATTCTAACCTATTTTTGTTTCAAATTTTATCTTATTTTGTTTGATTGCAGTACAAATGAAATAAATTAAGACATGAAGTAGAGTAAGGTAAAACCCAAAACAAAATAAAACGAGAGTAAGCATTTTTTTTTTTTTAATTTGCACTCTCCTGCATTTGTACTAGTGCACATAGACTTGCACTACAGCCTTAGTTTCAAAGAAAAAACACTTTCAATTTTATATATAAAGTAAGGCCACAAATGTGCCTCTTATATAAAAGAAGGTTAATATCACCTAACTTGTAAACGATCCTGCATAAATGCTTATAAACAAACTCAAAACTTTTTGCAGCCATCAATCTTCAGGTGAAAAAATTCATTCTGATAAATCAAGGGATGAGAAATGGGCCAGACTGGCCTGAGTCCTGCCTGACTGTAGATAATGTTGCACCTTAGGTTAAAAATGTAAAATTATAGTCTTGAAGTTATTGAGAATATAAATTCAGAATCTTATTAAAAATCTATTAGACCAGACCACTCACAACAGGAAATAGGGTAACTTTTTGAGTACCCTACCTTGTCCAAGGAGTGTGCAATCGATAAGGGTTGCAACCTCACAACCAGTGTGTGCATATGCACTCTTCAAATTTAATGGAATTGAAGATCTACCAAATTCTTGATGAGAGGCTGCTATGAGGTTACTTAGGTGCATGCCACAGAAGAACGTTAGCTCCAGATAGTCTGGAATAACATTCTAAAGGTTGAACTGTTGCATCAACTTAGTAGCAACAGACTAACATTGGGTAATGGCATTTGTTAACATCGTGTAAAATTTTCAAGTTAATGCAGCTGAGCTACAATTCCAGTTGGTTGAAACAAAACCTGACCTTCCCTTCCAGCAACGAAATACACAAAATCTTGCAGTTGGTGGATGTTCTACGAAGGAAAGAAGGAATGCTTAACATTGTTCTTGGATCCCAACCCTGAAAATTAGATGCACTAACTATTGCCTGAATTGTTTGACCATCCATACCATCCAGTCATTCCGGTGTTTTGAACTGATTATCTGGACTCAATGAGAACAGCAGAGGTGGGTTGACAACTTGACATCAAAACAACCTGGTGCAGTCCAAGACTCATAATCTAAATTCCTAGGATCATTCCACTTTAAGTGTTGTTGCCGTGAATTGAAATGATTGATGGGTTGACAATTTGAGCTGAAATTTATAAATGATCCATTCCCCAAAAAGATTTTGGCCAGGATTCTGAACGTTTAAGTTCCATTTTTCTGGCCACTTAGAAGTCAGAACTCCCATTTCTCAACAACAAAATCATTTCAAGTTAAAAGAAAACAATACCACCCACTACATGATATTTCATCCTAAATCTGAAAAAGATCCATACAACTTTACATTTTCATGGGAAGGAAAAGAAAATCATTGAATTCAATCATTCAAGTTCAAAATTATAGAGTTTGTGGTACCCACTTCTTGGTAGGAGTTTTAATGATTGGAAAGTTGAATCTCTTATGAAGTTGATGCAATTGCTTTACAGTTCTGTTGTGAGTAGAAATCATATGGATTGGAGAGAATGGCTATAGGAAATGTCTAAAAAGTTATTAGCCATATCATTGTGTCAATTTCCTGCCTAATAAGTTTTATCATTGTTGTCATACGTGTAGTCGCGGATTGATCAACGTCTTGTCCATTTGGGGAAGGGGTTGCTGACTCTTGCACCTTACATTGCTTCCGGTTTTTGATGGCACTCTAAGTATTGGACACATCCCATTCATAATGGACTTCCATTTACTTATTGTTCCGTAGGATAAGAAGCTGACTGCTCCTCATGAAATTGATAGAAAGACACTACATAATTTATATGTTAAAATTTAAACACTTTTAACTATCTATCTATCTCTCACTTATAAAATATATATATATATATATATATATATATCACATGTGCCATCTTAAACATATAATATGATAAAATTTATAAGAAACTGAAGAAAATATTATATATAATTATCAAAATAATCGGTTTAGGGTATGAGTCGGTTCAGGACAAGCGAGAACAGGAGTAGATCCATTATAATTGGCTCGACTCGTTCTGGTCCGTTGGGTAGGCCCTCACCGTTGACAGCACTTAATTCAAGCTGAAAGAAGACAGGAAGGCTGGTGCGGCACCAAGGTTGTATCTCTTTTTCTTCTACATTAGGATTTGCTATTCTTGGTAAAGGACCTTTACAACCCCATAATAATGCTCAAAACTTTTCTTTTGTAGGGTACGATTTTGTCATTGGGTGTTGATATCACACCCACACAAACTAATAAATACTTCTAAACAAATTTGAACCTTGTATGCTAAAACTTTTTTAAAGGTTATCATTTCTTTATTATTGTTGTCATGTTAGATGTTGTATGTTGTATGCAAGCTTGGTAAGCAAACTATTACTATAAAAAAACTTCTCTCTACTCCTATGTGTATGTTGTTGTTGTTGCTAATTCTGCCGGCTACTGTGTGTAGGTGCAAATGGTTTGAGGTCTTAGGCATTCGGGGAATGGGTTGTTGAATCTTCAACGTTGCCATCAGATCCGACCGAGTAAGTACAAAGGCAAAGCCTACGTAGCACCTTTTTGCCTTCTTGGTAGTACAAAATGTTTCATCGCATTTATGTGACTGAAGAAGTAGGTAGAAATAGAATAGACAACTGCATTATGAACTCATTATGTATGGCTTTCCTAGGTATCATCTAGTGACAATGCAGATTCAGCCAGGCACAAAGACGGCAACGACAACCTTTCTCGGAGCTATTGCGGATGATGATTTTGGCAAGGTAACAAAGCGTCGACTTATGTGATGATTTGGTTTTTCTTAATTTTGTTTTGCACATTCTTAATGGATTCACCTTCTGTTTCCCTTGTGCTGGATGAGTGGTCGACCGGTCCTTCTCAAGTTTCAAGGGGTGGTTCCACCGGGAGTTGGCCACTCAACATATAGGGCTATCAAAGGGTATGGTCCAAGCCGGGTCAAGGCAGAAATAGTTCCCAACCAGTTGTTAATCGGAACAAAATCATACACCTAGAACCGTTCTTGATAGTATAAAATGTAAGATTATATAATAAACTACACTAATAACCGAACCGATCATATATAAAACTACTAGTGTTTTATTTAAAAAGCAACCCAAATCTAAAATTTGGTAACGCAACCAAAATAAAATTTGACGGAAAAACACTAAACTATTGATAAGCTAAAAAAAAACCAAACACTTTTAACTAATACTATAAGTAAAACAAAGAATTTTAAGCATATATTATGATGAAATTATAAGAAATTCACCAAAATATTATTTAAATTTAATCAAGCAATTGGCTTTGGGTCTTAAGCATTTTGGGACTGTTTATAGGAAGAACCGACCCGCTTCCCATGTCGAACATATTTATGGAACTGAAACCGTTATACTCGGTCCGGTTTGCCAAGGACCGTTGGGCAAACCCTACCCGTTGAAGGCCCTAATTCGAGAATGCGGACCGGTGGAAGACCAATGCTGCAACAACCCCTTCCTTCCCCACAGGGATCCACTTTCCTTGGTAAGCAGCTTTCCAACCCCTAGTCAATGTTCAAAGTTTGGCTTTTGTAGGGAATGACTCTAACATGGGATGTTGATTTTGGACTCGCACGACTTGGCGATTGCTTCCAGAGAAACGTCAACCGTGTCACTACAGGCGCATTATCTAGAGCTCTCTTTGCCAAATGAGGTATCAAGAGTGGTCGCAACCATGTAGGTTCACATTTCTCTATATGCTAAAGCTTTCTCAAGTGGTGACATTTCTTTTTGGTAATTGCTTTTTGTTTGCATTTTTATTTCTTCTCTTTCTAAACTCTTCTCGATTATCTCCAGGCATCGACACTTCCAGGAGATTATGTGGCAGCGACGATTCAACTGTATGAAGTGGACCAGCAACGGGCATGGGCCCACACCAAGAATGACTCCCGTACTAAGTACAGGGTAACTAAATGTGTGCATAATTTAGATTGAAGTTTACTATTTAGTATCAAAAATTAAATTAAAAAAACTAATATAGGTCTTGCATCTTTGCAATTGACAATCTATTCTGACCTAACTTATTTGAAACTCACTATTAATTTATGTTTTTTTTTTAATTTGATTTAGATATTAAATAAGATCTTATTGGTAAACAATAACCACTTTATTTGGTATTTACTATTTATCTAATAAATCTATTTTGAGTTATTTACTTTTAAAGGTTAAATTAGGTTGCTTCTTGAAAATTAAATCAAGTTTGTAATTAATAAAGTATTTTATTTAGAAAAAAAATCATTCAAAAACAAATGTGGGTTTATTTTTGAATCCTATTGAGAATGTTCAGGAGTGAAACTACCCACTTTTTGAATCTTATTTCTTGAATTAATAGGATGTCATGTCTAAATGGTGGTAGTGGGTTGTGGGCTTTAGTAGCAACTTCTAATGCCACACGTCTAGCTTTCCAAAAAAATGAGGTCCTCACATATCTAAATGGTGGGGGGGATGTAGCCTAGTAGTGGATTGTGGGCTTTAGTAGGAATTTCTCAAAAATTGTTACGTGTCTAATTATCCAAAAAATGAGAAGGCCACCTTGGCTACTCCAAGAGGTGGATTTGCAGAGACTATTTCTAGCCTTGGAGGAAGAGACTATTCCAAGAAGTGGAAAATTGCCTTGGGTTTTACGGGATTTTTTAGTCTATATAAATAAATTAAAAGAGAAGGAGGTTCCCTTTAACGGGATTTCTTTGGCTACTCCAAAAGGTCATAACGGAAGTTTTCAACTCTTAGGAGTACTTAGGTTGTTCCATCATTTAATCAAATCCTTAACAAAATTAAAAATAGTAAAGAGTGGCTACATGCATGGAATGGAAAAGGTGTAGGATATGCGTGGGAAGAGGATATATATATTACGTGTTATAAAGTTCTAAAATCTAAATTCTAAACATAAGAAAAGGTTCTAAACATCATCAAATTCCGCTGGATGTTAATAATCTAGCTTGAGCTCGAGCTTGGCTCAAGTTAACAAGTTCGGAAGTTCGAGCTTGGCTACCTATGATTGTAGGTTTCTCTAGCAGCCGAGGTGTTAAGCCGAGGTCTCCCTTATTTGCTGAAGTGTCGAGCTGAGGTTTCCCTAGCAGGCGAGGTGTCGAGCTAAGGTCCCCCTTAGTTGACGAGGTGTCGAGCTGAGGTCTCTCTCAGTGGTCGAGGTGCCGTCAAGTTTGAGCTCGATTCGAATTAGAGACTTGAGCAAGTTTAAGTTCTACTACCTTTGGTTATAGGTCCCCTAGCGGTTGAGATGCTGGGCCGAGGTCTCCCTAGCAACTAAGGTGCCGAGCTTAGGTCTCCCTTAGAGAGAGAGAGATAGAATTGGCAGGAGAGAGAATGACATTCTTGTAATTTGTAAGGAAAAAAATAGTTGGTAGGAGTGAAAGTGATATTCTTGTAATTTGTAAGGAGAAAGAGAAAGAGAATTGATAGGAGAGAGAGAGTGGCATTCTTGTAATTTATAAGGAAAAAAAAACAAAAATTACTGTTATATTCCATTTCTCGCATCCTGAAACTTTCTTGGATGGATTCATGAAATAGGATTCAAGTAGCCAACCCCATATAGTTATTAGAATAAGGCATGGACAATGGTGATGATAATGACAATAATTTATTTTACATGCATGTTATTGGATATCCAATTCAAAACTAATAAATTTTTGTGTGGAAACTTAGGCAATGCTTCGATAGACTTCTACTTTAGTATTCTTAGAAATATCCAAGTATAAAGTACATAAAGTACTTTTACTTTGGTATTTTTGATTTAAAAACTATTTGGATAAAAAATTTTGAAAAGTATGCTTTTCAAAACAAAAGTATCATTTTCTATTTGGCAAAAGCATGCCTGTTTGTACTTCTAATGATGGTTTTCAATGGTTTCGGGGTTTGAGACCGATGACAGCGGTCTGACTCTAGCAACAACGAGTGGAGGTAGGGTCAAGAGTTTTATTGAAGAGTGTAACCACCCGTTCACACAAAAATAAAAGCACAATTTCGTCAAAAGCACAAAGTATAAAAAAGCTGACTTCGTGCTTTTGAGGTTTCTCGTATATATATGAAAGCAAAAAGTACAAAATACATAATACAAAGGCTATGTCATGTTTTTTGTATTTTTATATTTTCAAAGGTATGAAAATACTTTATAAAAGTCAAACAGGCCTTAATTATATCCCCTTGTGTGCCTTCAATGACCACCAGAGTTGGTATGAAGGTACACTTTCTTCCATTAGCTGTTAGGTGAAGTCTCTTAACTAATGGGGTTTCATTCTCTAACAATATATACCTATAGCCATGCCATCCATGGTTTTGCTCCAAGTCTTTTCCCTTTCGAGCTTGAGGGTATTTTATGGGACAGCTGTCTTAAAATTTTGTTTAAATCATTTTAAGGGTAGGCTGAGGGTATTTTATGGGGCAGGTGTCCCTAAATATTCTGAATGCTTACTCAATGTGTGCCGATTTGATCCAAACTCTCAAAGAGACCTTGTGGGACATGAGACACATACCTCTTCCGTCGCTGTTGTGGTGGTTTTCTATTTTGGATAGCAATGCAAATGGGATTGTGAGAAACGGCCCCAAAGGCATGATTCCTGAGTCAAGCGGTCTGACCGTTCAAATCAAATGGATGGCTTGTTCTAACAAAAAAATAAAAAAACAAAAAAAATTGCCAAAAACTGTTGAATAGTTTGAATGATTCGACTGCCTAGGTCAGCGGTTTGCTGACCAAATCAACAGTTTTTGGTCTTCTCGGGTAAAACGGAACCGGTCAGGTGATCGGTTCCCAGTTTTTCAGTCTGACCATCCAGTCCGGTCCAATCCAATTTTGAAAACCATGCTATGGAGAGTTAGTTTCTTCGAATCCGATGTCATTGGGACAATAAATCAAACAATTATTGATGTTGATATCAGTATATCACAATTTATATGTCACAAAACATCAATGTTTTCAAAATTGGACCAGGCCAGACGATTAGACTGGAAAAACCAGGAACCAATTTCTGTTTCACCCCAAAAACTGTTGATTTTGTCAGTAAACCATTTTTTGGCCAAAAATTATTTTATTTTATTTTTATCAAAACGAGCCATCCATTCAGACCACCGGACGGTCGGACCGTTCAGCCCAGAAATCGGACCCAGAACGATTCGCTGTCTGGTGACTCTGGTCCGATTTTAAAAAACCTTGCAAACCATTATTCCACTTTACAACAATTGTCAATAATAATGCATAATGCCAGCAAGCAGCAATAATTCTTGTATGTAGAAGATGGTGTCCTCTATTTTAATAATTCCTCTCCTATATGTTCAACCTGAGCATTATATCCCTTTCAGTCCCCCTTTTCTTGTTTCTTTCTCATGAGATATGGATGAGGCTGTGTGAAAACGTTCCATTGAAAATTAAGTTCTTCTCTCTCATAATCTCTGCTGACAAGATTGGAATTTTAACTAAAATTATATGTAGTCTTATCTTTTCATGGGTCCACCATGTCTACCTTGCAGAGTCAAATCTGCTACGGCTGTGGTTGCATGACATGTGGCCATGGAAGCAGCAGATTTTTCTTCCTAATCTTTAGGTATCGAGAAGGTTAGATTCATTTTTTTAGATGAATGGGTTCCACAACAGAGCTAACCAGTAGGAGGAATTAATGGAGTTAATTTATATTTACAGCACTCCCTTGCAACCTCTAATAAAACACAGGCAAGTCAAGTGCTGGGAGCCGGAATAAGGTCTGTTGTGACCAGTTGAACTTTACTGTAAATCTATGTTCAATAACTTCTCCGAAGTGGCTCAATCAATTCCGAAGTATCTCTATCAATAAAGAGATACAAGAGTTTTTCTACCATCACACTTGACAGAGATTCTCCTTTCCTAAACAAAGCTTGAACAGCCAAAACAAATCAGACAACTGCAATTTGCAGTTGCAATCCAAGAGATTGCTTTGAGAATAGCCACCGATTCAACCTCTAGATCCCCAAAATGGATATCCAAAAAACCAACCAAGGGTACCAGTGTACCAGTGTACCACCACCAGAAAAAGGCATAAACTGCATTGACTGCCCCAACTCTCAAGGGATACCACCAACACGAGAGGTGAGCAATAAAAACTGAAAAACCGAATTGAAAGTTCGGTTAATTGAACCAGTTCATTCGATTTTGGTTCAGTATTTTAAAAAAATCAAAGGTACCAGTTCGGTTTTGGTTAATCAAAATAGAAAAACTGGTGGTTAACTGAACCGACCGGTATGCATATATTTATATATTATATTTTTTATACATTATAATTAATAAATATGTATTATATATATTTATAATATATAATATATTATTTATTATTTAAAATATAATATTATATATATATTCTTAGTTTTTATTATATATTTATATATTTATTATAATATATTGTAAATAATAAAAAACCGATGAACCAAAAAACTGAACCGATTGTTAATTGAATCGGTCAATCAGTTAACTGATCGGCTTCGATTTGTCCGATTTAATTTAAAAAATAAACCCACGGTTCGGTTGAGCACCCCTAACTGGCACCATCACGAAAGAAAATAGCATCATTTTCCTTATACTAAACCTATTTAATTATATTTCTCACATCAAGTGTGAAGTTGTAATAGTTATTATACTCATAAGTCATAAGTGAACAAGTTCTTAATTGGGACAATTGGGTCTAGCACGATTAGAACCGATTATATTTGGCATTTATAATTATTGATGAATATACTTAAAATTTTATAATGATAATATAACTCTGAATATCAATATAGGTGGGTTTTGAGGTAATGATTGAGTTATTCCACTGTGACCTAGGTGATCAGGATTCAAATTTTGGAAACAGCCTCTCTTTGTGAATATATCGTGATGACGATGTGGGCACAGACTTTATTTTTGCTTCAAATTTCCAACAATAAATGAATGATGAGAAAATCACAAGTGACATGGTATTCAACATTTTTCCACCTCCATTTGCAAGTGTGCTAGCTAGTATAATATGTCGGGCCCAAGAGTAACGATAATCAATTTTGTCAATGTCTTACCTCAATGGTCCCTCCACAAAGTTGTTGCTAAAGTGAATAAGGTGAGGGATCATATATATACATCATGAAAAGTTCGAAAATATCAAAAGCACTTTCAAACCCCAAAACACGAATCCTAAAATTGGAATTTTGTGCTTTGAGACTTTTAAAAGTACAAATCCTGAAATTCATCCAAACGCAACCATATTTTATATGTTATTGGAGACCCGAATCAAAACTAAAATTTTGTGTCGGCAACATTTAAACCCATTTAGAGCTCCAGAAAATACAACCATATTGTTTTTCTTTTCATTATCGACCAAAGTGGTGGCCAATTTAATCGTTTCTCGGATATTTTCTGTTAATGTAGAGATGAAATTTTTCCACATTCTCCACTTGGGCAGGTAGAAAGTGGAAACCCCATTCAATCGTACATCCACGGATCCGTGGAGACAAAGGCGTCCATTGCCCATACTGTATGGAATACGGATCCCTGCTACTGAAGTTGTTCCACATTTTCCACATGGACAGGCTGAAAGTGAAGGCCCCATTAACAATCCGTCGGTCATTCATATCCATTAAGAATAAAGACAACAGAGATTGGACTGTATAAGAACATCCTCATGGTTTCATTGTTCTTCGATCTGTTCTGAATGTTCAGCCATGGCTACTGTAAAACCCTTTTGCCTCTGGTGGATCCTCTTGATGGCCATTTCATACATCACCTCCTTGGTGGCAAAACCAGATGTGTACATCGTCCACATGGATTTATCAGCCATGCCCACACCCTTCAGAGATCACCATAGCTGGTATGAAGCTACACTTTCTTCCATTAAGGATGGGATGGCTGGTGTTGCTACCACCACTAAAGCCTCTAACCTCATCTATACCTATAGCAGTGCTATCCATGGTTTTGCTGCAAGGTTATCCCCTTTGGAGCTCGAACTGCTCGAACAATCACCTGGCTTTGTTTCATCGACTCGCGACGTGCCTCTTAAGGCCCACACAACCCGCACCCCTGATTTCCTTGGTCTCAATCCTAGTTTTGGAGCATGGCCGGTGTCAAACTATGGTGAAGATGTCATAATTGGGCTAGTTGACAGTGGAATTTGGCCAGAGAGTGCAAGCTTTGGAGACGATGGACTGGCCGAAGTTCCAAAGAGGTGGAAAGGAGAATGTGTAAGTGGTACAAATTTCAGTTCTACCTTGTGCAACAGGAAGCTAATTGGAGCTCGCTTCTACAGTAAAGGTATAATGGCTTACAGACCCGACATAGACTTCTCCATGAATTCTGCCCGTGACACAGAAGGACATGGGACACATACCTCTTCCATAGCTGCTGGCAACTATGTCAAAGGGGCTTCCTACTTTGGATACGCCAATGGGACTGCAAGAGGAATGGCTCCAAAAGCACGGGTAGCCATGTATAAGGCTTTGTGGGGAGGTAGTTACGTTGCTTCTGATGTCATTGCGGCAATAGATCAAGCAATTGTTGATGCTGTGGATGTCCTCTCCTTGTCCTTGGGCAACACAGCTTCTGATTTCTATAATGAACCCATCGCCATAGCCTCCTTTGCTGCCATGGAGAAGGGTATTTTTGTTGCTGCATCGGCGGGGAATGATGGGCCCTATGTATTTACTGTGCACAATGATGCTCCGTGGCTGCTTACTGTGGCCTCTGGTTCTCTCGATCGTGAACTGTTCGGAGTTGTAGCTCTGGGCAATGGTGTTTCAATTGCAGGTGCATCTTTGTCTCACGGAAGCTCTTCGCTAACCCGACTACCCCTCGTCTACATGGGTGATTGCTCAGATACGCAGGAACTGAACAAAGTTGGTCACAAGATCATCGTGTGCAAAGGCACGGCTGGCTATGATGATAAGTTTACACCAGATGACGACATTGCTCAACAAATCTACAATGTTCGTGGAGCAGGGGTAGCTGGAGGTATCTTCTTATTATATGAAGGCAATAACTTGGATCCTTACCTCCAGTTTTCATTTCCAGCAGTTCTCATGAATTACCAACAAGGTGAAGCAATCCTTAAATACATTAATGGAAGTCATGACCCAAGAGCAACTCTGAAATTTCCTAACATGCGTATTGGAACAAAGCCAGCACCCAGAGTACCAATCTACAGCTCCAGAGGGCCGTCTGCAATCTGCCCCCATGTTTTAAAGCCAGACCTCATTGCTCCTGGCTCCTTTGTTCTTGGGTCTTGGGTTCCAACAAGTCCTGTGGTGGACGAAGGATCAAGACGTCTGTATAACAACTTCAACATCGTATATGGAACATCCATGGCTTGTGCTCATGCAGCTGGAGTGGCAGCACTTTTGAGAGCTGCCCATCCCGAATGGAGCCCTGCGGCCATTCGGTCTGCCATGATGACCACAGCAGATTCACTGGATAACACTCTCAAACCCATCACTGAACTCGTCGACAACGAGGGACCCGCCAGTCCTCTGGCCATGGGAGCGGGTCAACTGAATCCTAACAAGGCACTCGACCCTGGACTCGTATATGATGCGAATGCAGAGGACTATGTGAGGCTTCTTTGTGCTTTGAATTACACCAAGAAGGAAATCAAGAAGATAACAAGATCATCCTCAAAAGCTGACTGTTCAAACCCATTGTTGGATCTTAATTACCCCTCATTTATTGCCATTCTCCATGAGGATTCTTCGATACTGCCTCTGAATACCAAAGTAGTAAAAGAGTTTAGTAGGACAGTGACAAATGTTGGAGAAGGAATGGCCACATATGTTGCTAAATTGGCACCCATTGATGGTTTCAAGTTGAAGGTTAAGCCAGATAGATTGGTTTTCAAGGAGAAGTACCAGAAGCTAAGCTTCAAGCTCACTTTGAAGGGCCCAAGGGTAGTGGAAAATGGTGATGTCCATGGTTATTTGAGCTGGGAAGAAGTTGGAGGTAAACATGTGGTGAGAAGTCCAATTGTAGCCACAAGTTTCCTAAATGATGATTAAGGGACTAGCCAAATGGACTCTTTCTTTTGTTTTGTTTTAATGATCCTTCTCATCTATGTTTGAGCATCAAATCTCTTCTACTCCCTTCCCTTGTTTATTTGTCATGGGATATTGATGAGGCTCAGGCTGTGTGAAAATGTTCCCTTGAAATGAAGTTCTCTCTCGCAATCTCTCTCTTAGTTCTACAAACAAGATTGGATCCTCCACTAAATTTATGTCGTAGTCTATCTTTTCTGTGAGCTCCAATGTGTCTACACTGTAGTTGGATGTGATCCCCAATGCATGTGACCCCAACGGGGGGTGGGGGGATGACACTTCAGCCCAGGGTCAGAATTTTTAGGCCGTATAGTTGGGGTAGGTGCCAGCTCGAAATAGATGCCAATTCACGAGCGAACATTGGTGTATAAAGTGGGGATTGTTGACATTTTGAATGTTTATAGGTTTGCAGTGGAATTCAGAAATCTGCATTGGACCTGTCCGTATTTTTTCATTTTTTATTGAGAGAATGACTGTTTAGCCCAGAGTCGGAATTTGTAATCCCAGAGTACAGTTGGGGTAGATGTATGTTTTGGACATCACACCAATTTAATAAGTTCGAGTTGAGGTCTCCCTCAGTTGGAGAGACAGTGGCATTCTTGTAATTTATAAGGAGAGAGAGTCATTCTTGTAATTTGAAAGAAAAAAAACGAGAGAGAGAGAGAGTTGGTAGGAGTGAGTGGCATTCTTGTAATTTCTATGAAAAAAGGCAAAAAATACTGTTAGATTCCATTTCCCTCGTCCTCGCTTTCTTACATACACATTTCAGCTTAATATATTTATATAGATATAAATTATAGATAGATTTTAAGTCAGAAGTTACCCATATGATTTTTCCTCTTAAATTTTCTACATTCTCCCCTGCATCCCATATCCATGGAGATGAAGGTGTCCTTACTGTAATACTGCTCCCTGCAACCGAAATTGTTCCCCATTATCCACATGTGCAGGCTGAAAGTGGAGACCCCATTATCAACCCGTCAGTCATCCATATCCATAGACCATAAGACAAAAGGGATTGGACTGTAAAAGACCATCCTTTGTGCTTCAATCCCTTCTGTATGTTCAACCATGGCTACTGTGAAACCCTTCAGTTTGCTTCTTGTGGATCCTCTTGATCGCCATTTCATACATAACCTCCTTGTTGGCAAAATCAGATGTAGTAGACTTGACACAAAACAAATAGCAATATCTCAGTTCACGAACCTGACACATAAAACAATTATATAGAAAAGAAGCTCACATATAGAGGTGTAAAATGGGCCATGCATCCATTCCCTGGGATGACCATAACAATGATTCTGATGAGAACAACCCAGTAATGAAAAAAAAAACAAAAACCCAAATTCTTTCTTCACAACCAAATATTGTATGGACTGAGACAATAATAACTTCTAGGTACAGGGTTCTGACAGTTTACTGATTATGATGAACATATTGTATGGACTGAGCTAAGTTTATATTGTATACAATCGTTCACACATATTGTATGGACTGAGCCTCTAATTATGATGAACATAATTAGAGGGTACTATTTCTGTTCATGTTCTACCGTAATCATATTCAACTTATATTAAGACTTACATACATGCAAACTCTAACTCATTTCTTTTGGTTTGTTGAGTGCTTTGTTTTAGGGATTTCAGGTTGGTCTTAATTTAGGTGTGGTTGTAGCACGACCTACTACTTTGCAATATACAGGTAAGAATTTCTTGAACTAATCTCAATTGTTGCCCTATATTACCACTTAGTTCTAGTCTACTAAAAATATTAAGGGTAGAGAATCCAACATGAACGGTCAATTGAATATTTATGATGATTATGGCAAAATAAGTTTCATGGTGATGATAAAAATACATGCTTTATTTGTTTTTAGTGCAAATCTGAACTGAATACAAACTTTGCACTCGGTTCAGTTTTGCATCTATTTGTTTAGAAGATTATGCATACTTGCTGTTTGCTGAGAGATTGTAGCTGAAGTAGTAGAAGAGAGGTGTAGGCAAACAAATGCTGAGAATGTCGAACTGAGTAACCCAGTCGACAATACTATTGTTTATAGTAGATTACAGTACAGTGTTACATGAAATGTTTGGAATGCCCTGATTAGTGATGGGACACCCGGACTGATTAAAAACACTAAACAGACTTAGGCCCAATAACAAGGCCCAGTACCTAACAGCTTAAAACCCAATACTAACTAACATGTACACTTATCATCCGGACCAACAATGCATAAAATCAGTCAACTTAACACTCCCCCTCAAGCTAAGCATGGATGTYAGTCATGTTTARCTTGCCAAGAAGGTCCAAGAATTTTGTTGCAGCCAACCCTTTAGTCAGCACATCTGCAATCTGCATCTCGGATGGAGTATAAGGAATGCAGAGTTCTCCCGAGACAATTCTCTCTCTAACAAAATGTCGATCAATCTCAATATGTTTTGTCCTGTCATGTTGCACTAGGTTATTTGCAATGTTGATGGCAGCCTTGTTGTCACAGTACAGCTTGAGAGGACCCTCGGCTTTTATGCCAAGCTCACCAAGAAGGGTCCTGAGCCACAGAAGTTCAGCAACACCATGAGCCATAGCTCGATAATCAGCCTCCGCACTTGACCTAGCAACCACATTCTGCTTCTTACTCCACCATGTAACCAGGTTCCCTCCAACAAATGTACAATATCCTGAAGTTGATTTTCTGTCCCCAGCAGAACCGGCCCAATCAGCATCAGTATAAGTTTCAACTACTCTCATATGAGGGATCTTTGGAGAGTGCATGAACTGACTGACAACATGCACAACATAAGCGATATCTGGTCGGGTGAGAGATAGATATATCAGCTTCCCTACCAATTTTTGGTATCTCTCTTTATCACAGTAGTCCTCCCCTACTGATTCCTGTAGGCCATGGTCCTGTTCTATTGGGGTATCTGCTGGTCTACACCCTATCATGCCTGTCTCTTCTAGGAGGTCAAGTACATACTTCCGTTGACATATATAGATCCCCTCTCTTGATCTAGCAACTTCAATCCCAAGAAAGTATCTCAAATGGCCCAAGTCTTTGATCTCAAATTCAGA